TGACTCCCAGTTCTGCTGCTGAGTAGCTATGAAACCAGGGTCAAATTGCTTTACATCTCTGGGCCTCAGTTTCCTCATGGATAAATAAGTGAAGAAAGCACTTCAGCACTTACTTTGTGCCAAGCACTGTGCTAAGTGCTAGGGATAAAAAGACAAAAATAAAGACAATCTTCATCCTCCAGAAATTTACATTCTCATGGAGGAAACAAGCGGTGTGTTCTGAGCCAGACCAAACCAATTTAAATGTACAGGGATTTTCTGAGCAGTAATGCCGTTCATTGCCTTAAAAGAATCTGAGCTTGGGAAAATTTGAAGATTGGTACTGAAAAGCATGAATCTCAGGTTGAAGCTTTAGATCAGATATGTTTACAGATATTCCATCCGCTAAAAAAACAATCAATTAAATGTTCTTCCTAGTAATATGTTACTAGAAAATATCATTCAGCACGTGAACTTAAATCTTTTATCAGACAAAAAAAAATGATGAAAGCTTTTTAATCATGCTGATTTTTTAGAACCAACTACTTGGCCTAATGAAGAACTAACTATTCATGGACAGTTGGTGAAAAAAATTATATAATGTAAGTGAAATTTTAAAATGATATTGATTGGAATAGAATTTTGTAGATAATATATTGAATCAATGTTCCAATCCCTGTAACTATACAAATAGTGTTACTTTAAATGATTGTGGCTTTAATAATGAATATTTGAAGGTGAACTTCATTTCGTTTTTCACCAATGATGTTAATACAGTTCTGGAAAGAAAGTCTGGAGTTGCTATAAAAGAAAATTTTCCTAAAATCATCATTTGGCACTGTTTAAAAAATGGGTCACAATTACTCCTTGACGATTCCATACCCAAAATAAAACAAGTTAATCATTTGAAATATTTCTGGATATTACATTTGTCACCAATCTAATAAAAATAAAACCAAGTGAAAAGCGTAGTTAAAGAACTTGAAATTGAAATACTCAATTTGTTTGAGTACTGGGACCGAGATGGACAGTGTATAATTTATTGGCCGCTACGGCTGTGTAGTGCCAAGGTCCTCCCTCATACATGCATTTTTCTCATTATTCTTTGTAATTCTGGTTTGGTTAAAAGATTAGCTAATATTAATTTCTTGGAAGACCTTACTTTAATGATTAATATTCTTGAAGAATTTTCATTACTCTTAATTACGTTTTAGTTAAGATCAACTAACATTCAGAAAGCACAAAAATTAATCAAGTGCACCATATGAGCTTGGGAAAATTTAAAGATTGGTACTAGAAAGCATGAATCTCAAGTTGAAGCTTTAGGTCAAATATGTTTATAGATATTCCACTTAATAAAAAATAATCAATTAAATGTTCTTCCTAGAAATATGTTACTAGAAAATATCATTCAGCTCATGAACTTTTATCTTTTATCAAATAGAAAAAAATGGTGAAAGCATTTTTAATCATGCTGATTTTTAGAACCAACTGCTTGGCCTAATGAAGAACTAACTATTCATGGAGAGCTGGTGGGAAAAAATATATATATAATTTAAGTGAAATTTTAAAATGAGGTTGATCTGAATAGTTTTCAGAATTTTGTAGATAATACTAAAGAATCAATGTTCCCATCCCTGTAACTACAAATAGCATTAAGATAGTTAGCCCTATTATAATCAGCAGTGTTGAAGCTGAGTGGTTTTAGTTTAATGAATATAAATTGTACCCAGATGAGAAATAATTTATCAATAAATCTCAATTAGATTTAATGACAACAAATTTATTGGGAAAACAGTAGATTGGAATGTAACTCCATTTATCAAATCATGGTTGGATTGCAACCATAGGTTAGTAATGGATACAAGAATTCAGAAAAATATCAACAAAAGCATTCTGTTGAGAATCAGTTAGCTATATGGAATTTAAAAGAAAGGGTACTGTATATTTGATTATTATTTGTAAAATGTGTTCTACACAAATAATGCAATGAATAAAGCGTGAGGTCTGGAGTCAGGAAGACCTGAGTCCAAATTTGGCTTCATACACCTACTAAATGTGCAACCCTGGGCAAACCATTTAACCTCTGTTTAACCTCAGTTTCCTCAACTATAAAATGGGAATTGTAGTAACATGTACTTCCCAGGGTTGTTTTGAGGATTAAATGAAATAATATTTGTAAAGTGCTTAGCATAGTAACTAGCATGTAGTAGGCCCTTATTAATGTTTATATCCTTTCCCTGTGGCAGAAGTGAAGTGTGATCACTTTCCAGGAGCGACAGAGGGAGGCCGCCAGCCAGAAGCTACTCCAGGATATGGTCTCTGGCATGCACAAGGGCATTTGTTGAAGAGATGGTGGAGGAGATGGTAGTAGAGGAAAGACCTTTATGAGAGGGATAATACCACTTACACTACCTTACCTTACCTTACCAAGCTGCTATGTTTAAAATAACAAATGTGAGCTAGTATTTATACATTTAAAATAATGAATAATAATAATAATTGACATTAATACATGAAGGTTTATAAGCACTTTCCCCATAATAAACCCATGAGGTTAATAGTGATTATTATTACTCCTATTTCATAGATAAGGAAATTGAGGCTCAGAAAGGTAACTGACTTGTGAATGGTTAGGATGTCTGTGAACTGGAATTAAAAACCATGCTTCCTAACTCCAAACTCAGTAATCTTTGTACATACCTTACAGTTTATTTTAACCAAGATTCTTACCTTTAGTTTCAAGGACATTCATCGAACTTCTCTGCATCCACCATTTTAAAATAGTGTTATTGTTACTTTTGTATTTATGCCAGTTGTTATTCCTTAGCACTCCCACTCTATTAAACCTTTGTAAGAACAATAATAAAAAATGGACAAAGTTAATAGCCACAGCAATTACATACGACCTTGTGTACTTCATTCCACATCTAAGGCTCTCATCTCTCTACTGAGAGGGAGAAGATAGGTTTCTCTACTTACGCTCTAGGACCAAGATTTTCTAAACTCACATTTGACCTTATTGTTAACCACTTATCAACCAATATCTTCTGTCCCACTCCTTCTTCTTACAGGCAAATTTTCTTACGGCATTTCTTTGACATTCCTTTGAATCATTTCAGACTCGACTTGGAGCTTTCATTCAGGCTATGTCCTTCCACTCCAACGTCAGAACTCTTGAAACCAATCCAGCTCCTCTCGCAATTCTACCCCAAATTATTAGAAGGAAGGTGACTGTTTTTCCCTCAGCACACCATGGAAAAGGACTCACTCATACCACTGCCTAATGACAGAAATATATTGTATCTTTCTGCAATGTCTGAGTGTTCATTTTTGTGACTATACCTATCCTTCAAAATGGATTTGTTTTCTTTTGTTTTGTTTTCCAATAAATTTTAATTTTGACACGGTGTAACTATAGCTTGTGCCTGTACACCTGAAGGTCTTTTTTAGATTACATGTTCCTAGGGGGCAGAAATACTGTTCCTTAATCTCTCTGGAAATCAAAAGTGATGGAATCTTTCTTTTCTCTTTTCTCAAAAAATAATGGCATCTCCTTCAAGTCATGCACAGCAGCAGATTAGAGTAGTAATTGAAGGAGATTGGATGTAGGAAAGAATAAAAGGGAATGTAAAAGGGAAGCAGTGACACTGAAGAAAGAAGTAGGACTCTGGAAGTTTTGATGTATTTTTGCACAACAGAGACAATATTGAAAATTACCAAAAAAAAAAAAACAGACAAAATTTTCCAAACACATTTTGGGAGAGTCTTTGAGGAGCCCAGTTACTCTGGAATAAGAGAAGGGGAGGGCTGTCAGCCTCAGTATGCATGTGGGGCTGAATCAAGAAATGTTCAAGACAAGGAATACAGGATCAAAAACAGACAGAGATAACCAGTACCTTTAAGGAAAAATAGAGGCTTGTCCTTGAAGCCACCAATGGGGGCTTAGATTAGATTCCAGTCTTGTACAAGGTGTGAGACATTAATAAAAAAATATATATATGCAGAACAATGATTAAAGAGCTATATACATTAATCATGAAAACAATTTGATACTGGCTAAGAAATAGAATGATGGATCAGTGAAATAGATTAGGTGCACAATATACAGTAGTAAATGACCATAGTAATATGGTGTTTGATAAACCCAAAGATTCAGTCTTTTGGGTCAGGAACTCACCATTTGACAAAAGTTGCTGGAAAGCAGTTTGGCATAAACAAGGTGTAAACCAACATCTCACACTGTATACCAAAATACGGTCAAAATGGATAAATGATGTCCTAAGTAAATTAGAGGAGCATGGAAAAATTTACCTGTCACCTGTGGATAAGTGAAGAGTTTATGACTGAAACAAGAGTTAGGATTGCTACTCACTTGTAAAATGAAAGATTTGACTTAGTTGATCTTGAAAGCTGTTTCTGCACATAAAATTCAATTTTTCAAAAAGAATAGAAGAACTGAGGTTCTCTCCTCCTTTGTTACCTTTTATTACTAGTGGTTATGATTTTTTTCCCCTCAAAATATTCTTGGATCTTGTATAACTATCAGTTCATGAATATAATTTTGAAAGTCTTCCTTACTTCCCTTTATATACCTCTAGTATGTTTTCTTACAAGACTGTGTCTCCACTTGTTGAAAAAGAAATCAGCCTTACTTTTCTATTCTGCTTCAGGTTATATTGAATTTTCCTGGCTGACAAAGGACTCCTTTAGAAAACATTCTGATGCTTTCCCCAAGGGTCAGACTAATCAAAGTTGAAATTACTCTAGCATAATGTTTTTTCCATTTGTCCTGAGCTAAAGGAGGTTATAGCAGCCTGGCTTCTGCTTTATTTATAACCATTCAAAATACTTCCTTGACTATAGGGAAATCTGACATGGTAACCAAAGTTGTTAAGTTTTGTTCAGCGTTGAAGTGACATTAATTGTCATGACATTTTGCTTTGGAGTTTTATTGAAATGCCCCCAGAAGTGTGGGTGTCATTGTTTCATGTTTGTGCTTGGCTTGAGACTGAGTTTCTTCATACTTTCTCATATGTTTGAGTACAGGTAATGTCATTCATGGCACTTTCCTAAAAAAAAAGATATTTTAAAAATAAATATGTGTATATATAAATAAATATTCACACTTGAAAAAAAAAACTAGACCTATAATTCAGGAAAGGCAACTCCTTGTCTATAATTTATAGTCTTTACCTGGGGTCACTGAGTCAGTGTGGCAGAGGCAGGACTTGAACCTATTAAGTGGGATCACAGACACACACACACACACACACACACACACACACACACACATACACACTACATTGCTATGTAGAACAGACAACTCTTATTTATTTACTTAACAACCAAAATTATTTTTCTCACCCCTCAAAACTCTATTGTTCATATAAATCTCCCACAAAGGAAAACAGTATTTTTCTTTATTATTTTAGAAAGATATGTTCCATAGAGACTTGATTCATATTTTCACCATATTTGGCACAGAAAAGAACTTACCACCACCATTTTCCCATCCACCAGCTTTCTCTTTATGGTAGTCTCTTTGCCATCCCAAATCTGCACATGAGTCAATGAGCCACTGTCCAAGGGTACAATGCTCTGAAGACAATACAAAATGCTAGCCACTCAGTCCAGAGTATCCTACAGACCTCAAATCCTAGTCATCTGCTATAAATTCTCTAGGGTTTTACGTAGGTTACAATCAAGACATGATAAACTTACTAGATAATTATTTTGAATAAACAAAGGGAATTCTCAAAATTCTTGTATTCCATTAAGGACATTTTGGGGGAGGTAAATTAGGGCAGAGTAATCCTTGATAACTAAGGTAAAGTATAGTTTGATATTTTAAGATATAAGTAGCTTTAAATTTATAACTCCCATCCCCAGAGCTAACATAATGGGGAGAAAATAAGATCTTAGATCCAAAAGGGATATTGGAGACAATCTAGTTCAACTTCATCATTTTACAGATGAAGAGACTGAGGTCCAGACATTCAGTGAATTACATAGCGCTTTACAGACAGTAAGTGACAGAGGCTAGATTTGCATCTAGTTCCTTTAACTCCAATGCCAGTACAATTTCCATTGTACCATTCTGCCTCTCATAGTCACATGTCCCACTTTTCCCCATCACAAAATCATTAAAGTTAAAGTCTTTAGCCTCTTTTGCTCTCCAAATTATGCAATTATGTCAGGCTTGAGAGCTCCCACATTTAAATTCTATTCTTATTGAGATGTTATAATTTCATATTAATTACATGTTAAATAATATTATAGCATGTTATATGATGTACATATATCTCAGAGCATACTGTTCCACAATCTTGTGCCTTCAACCAAGGTTATTTATCAACTCATTCTATTCCGTATAATTCTGGGAATAGACAGCTGCTGCAAAATAGCAGATAAAAGAATATGAATACAATTGTCTTAGAATTAGAATCTGGACCATTTTTAGAACAGTAGTTAGTATTAATAGTTTGTCTTCTTAATTGACTACTTAATTGTCCACTTAATGGACTACTGTGTATTTTTGTTATATTTGTTCAAGAGTCTTTAAGAAGAAAGTTTTTGACCTCACCTTAGTTTTTCGCTCATCTGGTGTGGTTTCTTCAAATGCCTCTCCCAGCTTAAAAGAGATTTCATCATTTTTAAAGATGCTTTTGGTCTTGATGATAATCAAGTCCCCTTTTGCACTGATGGTCAGAACAGGTTTGGCCAGACTGCTCAGCTTCCTGCTAGCTAATCCTATTCCTAGAAACCAAACAAAAGGAGCCATGCCCAGTATTGTTGTTGACTAGTAAGGATTCTCTTGAGCTGCCCAACATCTTATTATCAGAGAGTTATTCTTTAAATGGCTGGATCTCATTGGTTATGCCTAAAGAGCTTTCATCTTTCAGACTGCCAAATATCAAAATGTAGTAGTTCCACTACTCCAGAAGAGGAAATAATGTCTCTGATTGACCTGAGAAAATGTTGTCAGTTAGCTTCCAAACCCCTAAAACCTTCATGAATGTTCTTAGGATGCAAAGACTATGTATGTCACACACATCACTGGCATCCTGAACTTACATGGTTGACTTTTTGAAAGTAAATGTAGAATCCTTCATAAAGACCCTGCTAATACTTCATTGCGACCTGGAAGTGATCTTTTGGTTTCAAAGGATATATGCCAATGAAGCATAAGCTCAGGCAGATCATTCCCAAGCAGAAAAGACTTAGAATATCATCTTGGCAGTGGGATATGTATTCTGATCAAGAACTCATCCAGGTAAGTTTGGAGAGACTCCCTGCCATGAGCTTGGCCACTAGTTCTTGGATCATAGCTCTTTTATCATTAAATTAATAAAAATCCAAAGTGCCCTCAATTTTGCATAATACCTTTCCATTTCTGCAGCGATCATGGTGGAGTACAGAAATGTTGAAAGCTGATCAGAGACTACCAAAATCCTATAATTTTTGGACTATCTACAAATACTAATCTAACTATTAATACTTTAAAATGTGAGTTTTTATTCAATCATAAATAATTTGATACATTACCGGAGGAGATGAACCATCTTCAAAATGACACTCACTATAAATAAAATCAGAAGATGTAAAGAAATTGAAGATAAATGGAAAAATGGCTTTCAGGTTCTCCTCAAGGAAACAAATTAAGGAGTGGGTAGAATAATCACGTGATGAGGATAAAGAAATAGAGGAACTCTACAAAGAACTTAAGAAGACCATTGGCCTCATTTCTAAAATATGTAGAGAATTAACTCAAATTTATAAGAATACAAGTCATTCCCCAACTGATAAACTGTCAAAGGATACGAGTAGGCAGTTTTCAGATCAAGAAATTAAAGCCATCCATAGTCATGAGAAAATGCTCTAAATCACTATTGATTAGAGAGATGCAAATCAAAAAAACTCTGAGGTACCACATCACACCTATCAGACTAGCCAACATGACAAAACAGGAAAGTGATAAATGTTGGAGAAGATATGGGAAAATTGGAACACTAATACATTATTGGTGGAGTTGTAAAATGATCCAACCATTTTGGAGAGCAATTTGGAACTATGCCCAAAGGGCTATAAAAATGTGCATACCCTTTGACCCAGCAATAGAACTTCTAGAGCTGTATCCCAAAGAGATCATACAAATGGGAAAAAGACCCATATGTACAAAAATATTTATAGCAGCTCTTTTTGTGGCAGTAAAGAATTGGAAATTGAGAGGATGCCCATCAATTGGGGAATGGCTGAACAAGTTCTGGTATATGAATGTAATAGAATACTATTGTGCTATAAGAAATGATGAGCAGGCAGACTTCAGAAAAACCTGGAAGGACTTGCATGGATTGATGCTGAGTGAAGTGAGCAGAATCTGGAGAATGTCATACACAGTAACAGCTATGTTGTGCAATGACTAATGTTGATAGACTTAGCCCTTCTCAGCAATGCAAGGATCTAAGACATCTCCAAAGGTCTCATGATGGAAAATGCTATCCACATCTAAAGAAAAAACTATGGAGTTTGAATGCAGATCTAAGCATACTATTTGCTATTTTTTCTTCTGTTTTGTTTTCTCTTTCTTGTAGTTCTTCCTATTGGTTCTAATTCTTCCTTACAACATCACCAATGTGAAAATATGTTTAATGGGAATGTATATATGTAGCCTATATCAGATTGAGTGACATCTTTGGGAGGGAAAGGGGAAGGAGGGAGAGAAAAATTTTAAGCTCAAAAGCTTATGGAAGTAATTGTTGATAAATCAAAATAAATTAATGAAAGTGTCAAAAAAAAAAGAGACCCTTGAAACAAAATCAAAATATACTGTGATAATCAGTGACTTTATTGTGAAAATGGGTGCAGGGGAGAATGGCAAAAAAAAAATGCTGAGAATAAAGTAATGAAAGAGGCCTAAGGCTTGTAGATTATTTAAGAACCTCATATATGTATTTCATGAATACTTTCTTCAAGAAAAAAGTCAGAAAGTATTAGAAGTTTCAAATAGAAAAAAAAATTGCCCCCTCCCATAGAAAATGAAATTGATTATTTTAACAGACAGGGACCAACTAGTTACCGAAGTGGTAAAATTTTCAGAATTAGTTGTCTCTGGTCGGTCAAATCATCTACTGATTAAAGGAAATTTTTGATATTAACACCAAATTAGAAGGATAAATATGAGAAAAATACTGTTCATCTACAACAGCTCTAATTTGACCTATATTAATAAGCTCTGAAAAATGGAAGATGAATAAAAATACATTGACTTAAATTATTTACATTTTAAAGGGAAGTTTGACCTGCATAAATAATTGCCATAGTAAGGAAGCCAACAGAGTCCCGAAACTTCCCAAAGCTGGCAGATTGTTCTCCTTTTCAAGTAGAAAGACACAGAAGCTAAGGAAAACCTTAGTGTACAATTCAAGTTCATTTGCAAAATATTATTGAAGAATACAACAGAAGATTATGAGTGGTAAAAAGAAATGAAAAGGAAAATTAGCATCTAGAATGCTTGGCATGAGACTCAATTAAGCCAAAGCATTCTAAGGTAAAACTAGAAGGAAGAAAACAAATAGATGTGAAACAGAACAGATTTGCCAGCATTCCTATAGTGACCTATTCTTATCAATAATGACAGTGAAACTTATACATTGACAATAACACCTCAATACCTGATGTCCTCTGTGAGGAAGTGGGAATGGAGTTCAAAATAATGAAATTAGGATGTGTCAAACTTAACCAAATACATGAGAAATTCATGCTAAAGACACCACCATCTTAAAAGCATTCAAAGGTGAATTTTCAAGGTCTTAAAGGGGAGAAAACTTCAAAAGAAAATAGCATGGAGAATTCAGGAAACATATCACGTAACAGAGTGTTGAAGAGAGATTTCAGACAGCTGAGCATCTTCTGAATCTCTCTGTCAAAAGCAGAGCAGCTAATAACTTATTGACTTTCTGTAATGATAATTTCATCCTTAAAAATACAGAGGAAGAAGGTCAGGGCAGGGTCAAAATGTCAGAGTAGCAGGAAGCAATATAAAATACTCCCCCCAAAATACTCCTCCAGACAGATCTGCAAAATGCAACAGATATAATCTTGATGAAGAAATCCAGAAAAAGTCACAATTTCTCATTTTTCTAGCCCACGTCAGCAAAGAAAAAGAGCTGGTACAGAGTTTGTAATGTGCATAGCACTGCGACGCTCAGGGGGAAACTATAAACAAGGCAAGAGGAAATTCCAGACTCATACAAGGGTGCTACCACACCTATGCTGGGGCACTAATTGGGAGTCAAGTGCCAAGTGGCAGCTTTTTTTTACTACTCGGATAAAAGATCCAGAGCAGCTTGAGAAGGGAACCTGTGCTTGTTCCCTATCTGTTTCCAGACCTAGACAGTGGGCCTAAAAAGGAGGAAGTCCAAAAGCAAGTGGTAGCAGTGTGGCACAGACCCTGGGAATAGAGTGAGTGAGGTCTTACTGCTAGCATCTAGCCCAGCCTTCAGAAGAATAATCAGGGCACAAATCCCAGACCAAGGAGCAGCCTAAAATTCTATCACTCTGATCCAGCAGAGCTTTTCAAATTAATAGGAGCTGAATCCAGCAGCAGTCAACAGTTGCTCAGACCCAAACTCAGTTCAGAAACCTGCAGAGTTCTGGCCAGGGAGGGTGGCAATCAACTTGCCCTGTAACACACCACTTTAAAAGAACTGAAAGATATTGGCCTCCACCCAATTTCTGCCAGACTGATTTCCAGTTTTCCCAACAATTTTTACCAAATAATGAATTCTTATGCCAAAATCTTAAGTTTTTACATGTAAAACAAAAGGTTACTCTATGTATTTGCTGCTGTAAATTGTATGTCTACTCTCTTCTATTGATCTATCTTTCTATTTCTTAGCCAGTACCAGAGAGTTTTGATAATTACTGCCTTGTAATATAGTTTAAGATCTGGTACTGCTAAACCTCCTTCCTTTACATTTTTTTTTCATTAGTTCCTTTGATATTCTTGACCTTTTGCTTCTCCAAATGAATGTTGTTATTTTTTTCTAATTCAATAAAATAAACTTCTGGTTATTTGATTGGGATGGCATTGAGTATATAAGTTAGTTTAGGTAAAATTGTCATTTTTATTATATTGGCCCTTTCTACCCATGAACAATTATTATTTTTCCAATTATTTAAATCTGATTTTATTTGTATAACTTTTTTTATAATTTTGTTTATATAGTTCATGAGTTTGTTTTAGCAGGTATTTTATACTGTCTAGAGTTATTTTAAATGGGATATCTGTTACTATCTCTTCTTGTAGGGTTTTGTTTGTGATATATTAGAATGCTGATGATTTGTGTGAATTTGTTTTATACTCTGCTACTTTGCTAAAATTGTTATTTCTTTCAACTAACTTTTTAACTGAGTCTTTGGGATCTTCCAAGTTTATCATCACATTGTTTGCAAAAAGAGGTCATTTTATTTCCTCCCTCTATTCTGATTCCTTCTATTTCTTTTTATTCTCTTTTTGCTATGGCTGTATTTTCAATACAATATTGAATAATATTGCCTGAACAAGTTATGGTATATGATTGTGATTGAATACTACTGTGCTATAAGAAATAATGAGCTCGATGATCTTAGAAAAACATGAATAGACTTGCGCAAAATAATGGAGAGTGAAATGAACAGAACCAAGAGAATATTGTGTACAGCAACAGCAATAGTTTTAAGAACAACTTTGAGTAATTAATTAATTTTGACTATTA